TGGGGCACTGGGTTCAATCCTCAGCACTACATATAAATAAACAAATAAAATAAAAGTATTATGTCCATGTATGACTAAAAAATTTTTTAAATTTTTAAAAAAGAAATGAATTCTAGATAAGTAGTGATAAATAAATATGACAAAGTGACAAATATGAGAGCTAGACAAGAAGACTCAACATACGGAATAGGGATTCAAAAAACAAATTAATACTGCATAAACTTTGTAATTCAAGTAACTTTAAGCAACCCACTAAAGAATATATATTCAGGACAAAGTGTGGTAAGGGCACAGGATAGACTTAGAGACCGGTGCTGCAGAATTGAGAATCCAGAAATAAATCTAAAGAGGTATTAAGAATGAAGATGGGGGGCTGAGGTTGTGGCTCCGTGGTGGTGCACTTGCCTAGCATGTGTGAGGCACTGGGTTCGATTCTCAGCATCACATAAAAATAAATAAATAAATAAATGTCCATCAACAACTAATAAAAATATTAAAAAAGAAAAGAATGAAGATGGGCTCTGTAAAGGATTAAATTGTGCCCCCCAAAATATATGTCTACCTGGGACCTTAGAATGTGATCTTATTTGCAATAGAGTTCTTTGCATGTAATTATGGTAAGAATCTTGAGAGGAGACTACCTTGGATTGGGTAGAAGCTGAATCCAATGATGGGCATCGTTACAAGAAAGGGACAAGGAGAAGCCACAAAGACACACACAGAGGGACAAGCCTAGAAGATGAATGCAGAGAGTAAAGTGATGTACTACAGATCAGGCACACTCACGCTTGCCAATCACCACCAGAAGCTGAGAGAGTCATGGAATAGATTCTCCTTAAGAGATTCTAAAAAGAACCAGCCCTTGCCAGGCAAGGTGACCACACCTGTAATCCCAGTGGCTCCAGAGGATGAGGCAGGAAGATCACAAGTTCCAGGCCATCCTCAGCAACTTAGTGAGACCCTGTCTTTAAAAAAAAAAAAAAAGTGACCATCCCTGACAACATCTTGATTTTAGGCACCTGGCCTTGGAGCTGTGAGAGAACACTTGTTTTAAAGACCCTGTTAGTAGTAATGTGTTACCGCATCCCTAGGAAACTAATACAGACCCTCCACTTCATCTGTAGCAAAAATTAACTCAAAGTGGATCATAGACTTAAGTGTAAGAGCTGGAACTACAAAGATCTCAGGAAAATAAAAACATTAAGAATTAATATTTGAGACGGTAGACTAAACAACTGTTACTTAGATCTGATATAAAAAACACAAGTGACACAAGAAAACGGATACATTGGACATCTCTACAATAAGAACCATGCTTCAAAGAACACCATCAAGAAAGTGAAAAAACAGCTCACAAGTTGGGAGAAAATATCTGCAAATCATGTAACTTCAAGGGGCTTGTATCAGAATGTATAAGTAATTCCTTATAACTAAGCAATACAAAGACAACCCAAATTAAAAATGGGCAAAATATTTGAATAGACATCTCTATAAAGAATACATACAAATGACTAATAAGCACATGAAGAAATGTCCAACAGCACTGGCCATCACAGAAATATAAACCCAAACTATAGGAAATAGCACTTCACACCCATGGGGATGAAAAAATGTAAAAGATAATAACAAGTACTGAGAAACTAATGTGACTCCATTTTTAAAAATAAATAAATAACAGCAGCTTCTACCTCAAGGCCTATCCTAAGGAAGGGAGTGTGACCCTTGTCCTTGGAAAAACCCTCAGAGCATGCCTAAGCATATACCCACCCTGCTGAGTTGTTTGTCAGTAAATAACAGGAGAGGTCTGCGGCACCAGGTGTCCCTGACTCAGTCAGACTAGGTGAGGACCCATAGCAACCCCCTAGCAACCTCCAATCAGCATGAGACAGAGAAAATACCTGAGATGTCAGATGACCCCCAGTAGTTTATGGTGGTTGATAACATGTTGGGAAACCATGTAGTTTAGCACGTACACCTCTCGTGGCCTAAACCAATCAGTTCAAAGGAATCCCCCTATTGTACTATCCAATCACCCCTACCCAACTTGTTCTTGCCAGTAAATGTGCTAATCAATGTTAAGAGTTGTTGTTTGATTTTCCCGCGGTATGGAATGATTTGCTGTGTGATGTTGTGACGCATAGAGTATCCCCCCAAAACCTATAAAATCTCACTGAACAAAGGACAGGGACTCACTCCCTGGGACCGCTGTGTCAGGAACGGTTGTGAGTCCAGGCTCGAGCTTGCAATAAAGACTCTTGTGTGATTGCATCGGATTTAGCTCCTGGAGGTCTATTGGTGTCCCACGAATCTGGCATAACAGTACCGGCAAGGATGTGGAGAATTTAGAACTCTGTAACCTGCTGGTAGGATTATAAAGTGGTGTGACCACCTGGGGCACCAGACTGGGAGTTCTCAAAAAGTTACGTATACACTCACCATATGACCCAGCAAGTTTACTTCTAGATGAATATCAAAGAAAATTGAAAATACATGTCCACACAAAAACCTGCATTCTAATATTCATCCAGCATTAATCATAATAGCCCTGAAATGGAAACAATCCAACTGTTCATCAACTGATGAATGAATAAATAAAATATGTGAATGTTATTCAGCCATAAAAATAAGTGAAGCATTGACACATGGATTAACCTTAAAAACATTTTTGCTAAAAAAAATGTGGCATATATACACAATGGAATATTACTCAGCACTAAAAAATAATAAGATCATGGTATTTGCAGGGAAATGGATGGCATTAAAGCAGATTATGCTAAGTAAAGTTAGCCAATCCCAAAAAAACGAATGCAGAATGTCTTCTCTGACATAAGTGGGGTGACTCAAAACGGGGAAGAGAGGAAGAGCATAGGAAGAAGATTACCTCTACATAGGGAAGAGGGGTGACAGGGAAAGGGAGGGAGAAAGGGAATTGCATGGATGGTGGAAGGAGACTCTCACTGTTATACAAAATACATGTATGAAGATGTGAGGGAAAAAAATAGCATTACCCTAGATTAGGTAGAGAGAAGCGATGGGGGGGGGTGTTGGGGAGATAGGAAGGATAGTAGAATGAAACAGACATTATTATTACTGTGTGTATATATGTGACTGCATGACCAATGTGATTCTGTAACCTGTATACTCAGAAAAATGAGATATTATATCCCATCTGATTCAAATGTATGATATGTCAAGGTCATTGTACTGTCATGTGTAACTAATTAAAACAAATTTTTAAAAAAAATTGCTAGCCAGGGATGGTGGCATGTACCTAAAATACCAGCTACTTGGGAGGCCGAGTCAGAAAAATCAACTGAGCCTAGGAGTTGGAGTTCAGCCTTGGTAATACAGCAGAGATTTCACGTCAAAACAATGACAATAACTTTACTAAGTGAAAGAAGCCAGTTACAAAAGGCCACAAACTGAACGACTGCAGTCATATAAAACACTTGCAATATGTAGAAGGAAGGGAAGGGAAGGAAAGCTGCTCAGCTCACGGTGGGTTAGGAAGCAGAGAGGAAGGAGGAGGCCACAGGGAAGATGCATCTCCCAGGACCAACCCCAGTGCCCACCCCTCCATCCACACCCCACCTGCCTATAGTTAGCACCCAGTCAGCCCATTCTCACTACATGGCTGATTAGTTACAGCTCTCACAGTCTAGTTGCATCAGCTCTGAACATTCCTGCATTAACAGGAGCCTTGGGGGACACCTCACATCCGAACCATAACACAGGGCAAGTGTGCAAGTTCAAACACTGTTGGACAGCCTGTATATGAACAGATCACTGACATCCAGAGTGGGTCATGGCATCACTTTAAACTTGGAATCTCCACATTTAAGTCTTACAACTGAAAAAAATGTTAAGAGATGAATTACACATGTTTGTGTTTTGGTATAAAATATCAGGAAGAGTATAGGGTGTCAAGAAGGAAAAAGACTGTGAGTTGATGACTGTTGAAACAGTGTGATAGGTACTCATGTGCATGTTAGAAGTTTTCTACAATAAAAAGTTTTTTCCAATATTTTAGTATGAATATTTCCAAACACATGGACAATTTGAAAAACAAGTGCAGTGTACACTCATCTATCCACCAGTTAGATTCTACAATGACTATTTTTGCATCTGTTTTATCACTTACTTATGTACCTAGTTTAGGAATGTTATAAAACAATCTACTATTCTAAATGTGTCCTACACTGTTTTGATGTTACTTACTCTGAATCGTAGTTTAATTCTTAGAAAGTTATAAGCCATTTGTGGTAACAATGCCCATTCATATGATGCTGCATGTTAACTCTGCCTATTTTAAATTACCAAAGGAATGTGCACTGGTAAAAATTCAAGTAGAACCTACATACATGACAGGAAAGTGCATCCTCACACTTAGGCAGGTGAAGTGGCACATCTCCGTCTGTGTGAATGTGCCTTGTGCTGTATGGCATGGTGGGCTCCACCACCCTCCCACCCTGGGGGAAAGCCATTGTTGGACGTCGATTTTTAGAGACTACCAGAACCATAACTTACCATGCTTCCAACTGCCATCATCACCAAAAAACTGCAGCACTATTCTAACAAAGTCCTTAGCGTTGAAACAAATAACAGGGCATTTACATTTCAGGGTTTGGAACAGCATGTTTCTAGAAGATATAAAAGAATTCACTGATTTAGGCATTAATTCTAAACTTTTGATATTGGGAAAATATTGTTATTACTTTACCAATAGCTATCATTTATAGTGCAGATACACATTGATTAGCTAAAGAATCCTGTGAGGTAAACATCTGCATTTGCTGGGCGTGGTGGTGTGTCCCTATAATCCCAGCACCCAGGAGTCTGAGGCAGGACTGCAAGTTCAAAGACAGCCTCAGCAATTCAGTGAGGCCTGAAGCAACTTAGCAAAACCCTGTCTCAAAATTTAAAAATAAATAAATAAATAAAAAGGTCTTGGATGCAGTTCAGTGCACTTAGGTTCAATCCCTGGTTCAGAAGAAAAGAAAAATAAAAAACATTTGCATTTTACAAATGGAGAAACTGAGACACAGAGACTAAGCAAGTGCCCAAGACCTTATACCAAGGAAGAGCCCCCAGTATCCAGGCCTACAGAGTAACTCTTGAATTATTACATAGACCATACCCTTCTTACCAGCCCCAAGGTGACTCCCTGGACTGCTCTGCCCTCCCAGAGCCCTCTCCTCACATCCCACCATTCTGTCATCACCAAGAGTGCCCATTCCTCTGGGTCACCGTACTTGCTGGTTCCTAACTGCAGTTCTCTTCCCACAGCTTTTGCAACCTGTTCCAGAGCTGTGTACAGGAGGAAGCAGGTCCTCTCTCTGTCCCTCCTGTGCTCCTGTCCACATGCCGTCCCCTTATCTCATGAGCTCCTTGAATATAGGATTCATAATAGTTACATTTATTGATTACCTACCATATGCCAGATACCACATTATAATACACATGCTTGACGTGATGAAACTTCAAAATGATCCTATCAGGGAGACACTCTATCCACTTTACAGGTGAGGAAACTTAAGCTCAGAGAAGTTATAATTGAGAAGTGGCAACACTTGGATCTAAGACCAGACTCCAAACTCCAAGACACCAACCATAAATCCCCTGTCATAGTAAAGGCTTATGAATACACTAACAAGATGCTTTGTATAGGACTAAGAAAGAAACAAACTAGGACACAATGAGCTCCACAACTAAGTGAGTGTGCAGTTAGGCTTTGCTGGTCTTGATCTGCAGACAGTTTCAGGCTTTGCGTATTGTGTGATTTCACCTTGGTTTCCTTGAACAGGGAGGCCAGTAGCAAGGACTCTGGTTGTGGCTTGGATGGACCAGGGAGGGTAAACTGTGGGGGACAGAGGGGAAGGAAGGAGTGGAAAAATACAAGGAGAAGAAAGAGCACTTGGAGCCCCTGCCTCTGTAAATCTCTTCATTCTGAAATGCAGAGGACCTCGAATTGGTGATCTAACTGCCACACTGACTTCCCATTAGGGAGACACCCAAGCTGAATGATGTCTGTTTTGAAGAGACAATAATAAAAGTGTGTCCCATAAGATACAATAGCTAAAGCAGAAAGTATTTTATGAGTCAGTTGCTTAAGTCAATTATGTCACATTTGCAAAATAAAAAGCTATAATAAAAAAAGAGGTAGAGGCTGGGGAGATAGCTCAGTGTGCCATAAAAATAAAAAATAAAAATAGGAAATCTAGATTTGGGTCTAAAAAGGAGAAAATTCCAAGATTGAAAATTTCCTCATCTATAAAGCAGAATTAATAAGACCTAACAAATAGTGATAGTGTAAAGGTGAAAGATCATGAGTAAAAAGACCTTGTATAGGTATTTAATGTTATTAAATATGCTTTTGGCAAAAAGTAATTTATATGGATTAATTAAAAATGGTTTATTTAAAATAATTTTGAATCCCAAAGATATTATATAGAATTGGAATTATTACTTCCAATTTTATGGTAATTGAGGCAATATTCCTAATTATTCCAGAACTTATAAAACTGAAGCCTCAACACTCACTTATTTAATAAATAAATATTAGGCACCTGTTCTGTGGCACTGTTCTTAGCTGTGGGTATATAAAAGTACACCAAACCAAAAATTCCTGCTCTCAGAGAATTTAGGAGTGGATATATAGTAAAGTAAATAAATGTGATATGCATAATGATGTGGGGTATTCCAGGGAAACATAAAAGGGATGTGCATGGTGCTCAGTGAGGTACTGTTTATCAAGGTAGTCAGTGAAGACATGAGGATAGGGTGAACCAAAAGCCTAATTGATGAAGGAAAGCTTTTTACAGAAAATTTTAGTTAATGAGTGTGGAAAAAGTGATGGAGTTAGAAATAATTTGGACCTGAATAATGAAGCCTTAAAAACCAAACTTAAGTTTACAGTAAATACAGGGAAAGAAGAACAAGTTAAAGAATCCCACAATGAACGGCTTGTGGTTGTGGCTCAGTGGTAGAGAGCTCGCTTAGCACTGGGTTTGATCCTCAGCACCACATAAAAACAATATATAAAGATATTGTGTCCACCTACAACTAAAAAATAAATATTAAAAAAGAAACCCATAATGAAATAAACAGGACATGAGACCTTCTACAAGAGTCTAGCCACATCTTCAAGGTAGAGTCAACAGGATTTGATAAGAACTTGGATAGGATTCACGAAAACAACAGAAGTCAAAGATAACAACAAAATGGATTCTACAAGATGGATTAAATTAGGAGATGAGAAAAGACATGATCACCAGATTTTTGTTATATGTTGGTGTTGCTGGGTTCCTAATCCAAATAAATCAACCACAGAAGGACATTTTTTTGAGACAATCAGGTGACTGAAATTTGGATTGGGCATTAAATATAAGTTTGAAAATTGTATTGTGACTATGCAGAAAAAAGGCCATTTTTAGAGCAGTCCCCTGAGACACATGAGAGTGAAAGATGTGTCATATTTTCTTTAATTCTAGCCCTTCAGCCTCCTCTAGAAGAGAGATGAAAGAAGTGTGCAAAAATCTGAAGGTGTTGATCTATGTGGATGTGTATGCTACTCTCTACTTTTGCATTTTCAAAATTTATTTTGTTTGTTTGTAAAAACCTAAAGAAAGGAGGCAGCAACCCAGGCAGATATCTGGGAGAATGCTGTAATAAGGAGGAAACTGAAGCTGTGGGTGGAGGCTGGTCTTCACTGAAGAGTAATGAGGGAGAAGAGGTGAGGGCTGCAGAAGGGTACAGTATGAAGACTGGCAGTGGGATAGGGTCCTAGGAACTTTCACCTTGCTTCAGAGACAGCAGGAGTAGTTACAGGGTTTTGAGGGGCAATGGCATGATGTAATTTCTGTTTTCCTATGTCCCTCTGGGAGCTGATCTGAAAACAAGCAGAAGGGCAGGTGGAGCAGGAGTACATGTGGAAGCTCTTTCTGCAGCTCAGTGGCCTGAGGTATGGCAGCAGCAATGGTAAAGGTAGGGGAGAGTCTAGCCACATCTTCAAGGTAAAGTCAACAGGATTTGCTAAGAACTTGGATAGGGTTCATGGAAAAAAAGTCAAAGATAACAACAAGCCTGAGCTCAAAGAAGGCTACTACTAACACTGACCAAGACAACCAGGCTGCAGTGGACAGTTTCAAAGGAAGATGAGTGCTCAGGACACCTTAGGTTGAAATGACTAACAGATGTCCACATGGACATAGGATACATAAATCTGGAATTCAGAAAAGGCTGTCCACATATTAGGGCTCTATTCTCCATAGACTACACCTACCTACTTGCTCTTTTAAAAGAAAAATATATAAAAAGAGAGCTAAGGATTTCTTGGGAGACATTTTTTTAAAAAAACCACTAAGAGCTCCATTAGCCTGGGTAAGATGAGGAAGACTGTGCCTACCCTGTCTTCCTTCACAGCCATCAATTACTCTTCTGGATTGTGATCTTTTTCTTTTAATTTTTTTTCATAGCTTTATTGAGGTAAAATTGAAGTACAATAAAATACACATATTTGCCCTTTGATCAGTTTTGACATGTAAGTAACCAATAGAATCAATATAAAAACATTTCTATTACTTTTTTTTTTAAATTTTAAATCATGCAGACTGTGTTTCCTGCATGATTTATTACATTAGAAATCAATCTTAAGATATATAGAACCCCACCCCTACATGTCAACTATTTCAAAATTAAATGGCACACTTATAAATATCTTAGATGTCAAGGAAGACACAAGAAAAGTAAATAAAAAATGCTTTGAACTAAGTAATAATAAAAGCTTAAAATATCAGAATCTCTGGAATGAAACAGTACTCAAACATTTATAACTTAAAGGACTTGTATCAGAAAGAAGCTAGAATAACAAATTATTTTCAAATTATGTAGTAGGAAGGAAAAAATAAGACTAAGAACAGACATATATGAAATAAAGAAAAAATAACACAGTTAAAAGTTGATAAAAAATCAAACAAGTCTAATCAAGAAAAAAAGCAAGAACACAGAAATTAATATCAATGAAAGAGGAGTTTATCAAAATAACCCTATAAATGCTAAAACATATTAAGGTAATATTACAATTATATGCCAACATACATGATAGCTTACATAACATGGTCATATTAGAGAAGGATTCGTGTGCTGCTGAGAAGAAAGTGTATTCAGTCATTGATGGATAAAATATTCTATATATGTCTGTTAAGTCTAAATTATCAATTGTATTTTTTTATTTCTATAGCCTCTTTATTTAGTTTTTGTTTAGTGGATCTATCCACCAGTGACAAGGGATGTTAAAGTACCCAGTATTATTATGTTGTGGTCTATTTGATTCTTGAAATCAAGAAGGGTTTTTTTGATGTACATAAATGCTCCATTGTTTGGAGCATAAATATTTACTATTATTATGTCTTGTTGATATTTAATTCCCTTAAGCACTATGAAATGGCCTTCTTTGTCCCTTCTAATTAACTTTGGCTTAAAGTCCACTTTATCTGAGGATAAAAACCCCAGCTTGTTTATGAAGTCAGTGTGAGTGATATGTTTTTTTCCCATCCTTTCACCTTCAGTCTGTGGATGTCTTTGCCTATGAGGTGAGTCTCTTGGAGATAGCATATTGTGGGCCTTGTTTTTTAATCCAATCTGCTAGCCTGTATCTTTTGATTGATAAGTTTAGGTCATTAATGTTCAAAGTTATTATTGAGATATTATTTGTATTTCTGGTCATTTGGGTTTATTTCTAGTTTTTAATTTGAATTAGTTTCTCCTTTGATTGAATATCCCTTTAGTGTACTTCCTCCCTTTGCTCGTTTTCACTTTTTTTTCTTCGTTTAATCTTCATGGAATATTTTGTTGAGAATATTCTGAAGTGCAGGCTTTCTAGTTGCAAATTCTTTTGTTTATCATGGAAGGTTTTTATTTCATCTTCAATTCTGAAGCTTAATTTTGCCAGATGTAGGATTCTTGATCAGCATATGTCTTCTTTCAGAGCTTGGTATATGTTATTCCAAGACCTCTTAGTTTTAAAGGTCTGGGTTTAGAAATCAGCTGAGATCCAAATTGGTTTCCCTCTATACATAATCTGATATTTTTCTCATGGCCTTTAAAATTCTATCCTTATTCTGTATGTTAGGCATTTTAATTATAATGTGCCTTGGTGTGGATCTGTTGTAATTTTGTACATTGGGGGTCCTGTAAGCCTCTTGTATTTGATTTTCCATTTCATTCTTTAGGTATGGGAAATTTTCTGATATTATTTCATTGAAAAGATTGTGCATTCCTTTAGTTTGTGTCTCTGCACCTTCATCTATCTCAATAAATCTTCAATTTTGTCTTTTCATGTTATACCATAGTTCTTGGAAGTTCTAATCATGGTTTCTTAACATTTTTTTTTCTCCATGGTCAACTCTATTTTCAAGATTATATATTTTGTCTTCATTGCCAGAGGTTCTGCCTTCCAAGTGGTCTACTCTGTTGGTGATGCTTTCTATTGAATTTTTAATTTGGTTTACTGTTTCCTTCATTTTGAGGAACTCTGCTTTTTTTTCAGAATCTATTGAAGTGATCTTTCATTTCCTGTATTTTCTCTCTTATTTCATTTCTTATACCATCCTTTATTTCACAGATCAGTTTAACTGTGTACATTCTAAATGCTTTCTCTGATATTTCTTCCCCTGTGTTGTTGATGGATTTTGTTATATATATCTTGGCTTGTTTGGGGAAATCTGTTCTCTCATTTTTTAATGTTGTTTGTGTGTCTATCCATCTAACAGTACGGATCTGAGGCAGTAGAGTTTTTACCCTGTGGACTCATAATGTCCCTGATGGTTTCCAGCACTTCACTGTTTAAGGGGAGACAAATAATAACAACAGCCAATGCAAATAATATACAGCATTAAACCAAATAGCTCCTACTATGCCATCTACAATGTTAATTATCACAATAAACAGAAATTATAAGATCGGTTATCGCCTACGGCAAGTTTGCAAAAGAGTTTACAATTTCAAGTGGTGAACAGGGAGAGAACAGAAGTGATATAGGATGTGATGATTATGAAGGAGAAGGGAAGAAATAAAAAATTAAAGGAAGAGTGAAAAAACACTAGAAATTGGCTGATCACAGAAGAAAAGAGAGAATCAAGGGAAACAGGCAGGAGAAAAATATACACATATAAATTAAATATTTTAAAAAAATAAAAGAATACAAAACAAAACTGAAAGTATACAAATAAAACATCCTAGTTCACAAAAAAACCAATCCATGAAAAATAACTGGCTTCAAAAATGCTAGAAATGAGGGTTGGGGCTATGGTGCAGTGGTAGAGTACTTACCTAGTATGTGTGAGGCACTGGGTTCAATTCTCAGCACTGCATATAAGTAAATAAAGATCCATTGACGACAAGACAATATTTTTTTTTAAATGCTAGAAATGAGGCTGGGGCTGGGGCTCAGTGGTAGAGCTCCTGCCTCACATGAGTAAGGCACTGGGTTCAATCCTCAGCACCACATAAAAAATAAATAAAGATGTTTTTTTAAAAACTAGAAATGAGAAAAATCAAATATGAATATGTATAAGTGTCCATGTACCATTAAGGAAACAATTAAACAGAGAAAAAGAATTTTTAAAAAAAGATCTTGATGAAAAGTTATGATATTTTCAGTCCAAACCATATTTTCAGTCATGGAGCTTTGAAAATAGTACTATCCTTGGTAGAATTGAGGACAACTTACTGTTTGCAGTCAGTGATAACTCATTTTCTAATGCTATAAGTGAGAACAAGAATGTTGGGGAGGGCTGGG